GCCAGCAGCCGCTAGGGACCCTACCCGTGCACGAATTTCGTGCACTGGGCCTCTAGTTATTTATATTGTTGTTATACCAGATTACTAATCAAACACAAGTCCTTTTTGCCAACTCCCCTTCCCCCAACAAGTGCCTTCCTATTTCTCCCATATGTGACATGGGACAAATTGGCATTGCTTTGTGTCCTAGAAGTGCCAGGCAGCCATAATAAACTGAAGCAGCAGTCTCCTGGTCCAGCAGCAGTCTTTTTCCATCTTGAATAAGGGAACTCTTTACCACCCAAGATTCCCAGAAGTACTGCTCCTGACCCCTGACCCCTGAACACAGATCCAGACCCTGCGGGGCTTCCCCACCAGCTCTAACCGCTTTCACCACTCCCTGCTCACCCTTCAAGGCCTAGGGTGGGAGGGGACAGGCAGGATAGAGAGCCAATCAAGAGGATTACCCTTCCCCTACTCCATTCTCCCTTCTCCTGTCACCAATTTCTGACCGCTGTCGATCCTATCAGGGGTCCATAAAGCCAGGAGGACTCTGGCCCGGGAGAGGGGGGTAGAGGTTAGGCAAACAGGCCAGGGAGGCAGTTGGTTGAAATTTAACCACAATATTCTTGGTCTCTATTGTTTTGAGTGAGGCCCAATATTTCCACAGCAGGATTATAGGATCTGATTAACCATGTTAGACAACAATGCCGAGCTGGGATGGGCTTCCCCTTCCAGCTGCCAATATGAAAAAGTAAATACAACACCCAGATTTCAAAAGGGACTCCAAGCAGCCCCGGAGTCCTAGTCCCCAATTCTAACCCTGCTACTGATTTTGGCCTGAGTGAGGGGAGGAAGAGTGTGGTACTGCATGCTCTTTTAACTCCTGGCCCTTGGCCCAGCAGGACAAGTAATCCGGGCACAATCTTCCCAGGTGAGTCAATGGCTGTGTGCTCCCCACACCCTGGAGTTCTTCCAATGCCTCTTCCGGGTTCCCCCAGGCTAGCCCAGAGCCTCCGGAACCCATGAGACTTAGGTGAGGAGAAGTGAGCATTCATTCAAAGGGAGTGTGGAGAGCATAGCAAAACCTGTTGCCCTCCCAGATAGAGATACTGAGTGCAGGTAGGACTTAACAGGTTGGAAAAGCAATTGAGCCTTTGCTAGAATGCTCTGGAAGTCATGCTACCTAATGACTTCCCATGTGCCGGAGTAGAGACATGAGACCCCAGAATTGAGGGGAAGCAGAAAGGACCGCCAAAGCAAAGTCTTAGGAGACGAGAAAGTAGTCCTTGAAGTTGTGGGATGAAATACGGAGGCCAGATGGGCTTGAGGTTCCTCAACTAGAGAGGGATTCCCTCGGGTCCCTAGCCCTCACACACAGGCACCTCACACACTCCCATTTAGGGGTGGATCTTTGGAGGCCCTGTCCAAGAGAACATGAAAAATAGAGCAGTAGGAGCCGAAACCGGTTTGGCTCAGTGGATAGAGTGTCAGCCTGCGGACTGAGGAGTCCCAGGTTCGATTCCGGTCAAGGGCATGTACCTTGGTTGCGGGCACATCCCCAGTGGGAGATGTGCAGGAGGCAGCTGATCGGTGTTTCTCTCTCATCGATGTTTCTAACTCTCTATCTCTCTCCCTTCCTCTCTGTAAAAAATCAATAAAATATATTTAAAAAAAGAAAAATAGAGCAGTAGGAGCCTTCAACAGGCATACCCAGTAGCAGCTTCCAGGAGGTCTTAGAAAAAACCCTTCCTCCAAACCGTGGCTCCCTTCTCCTCTGGCATTTCTCTCTGTATCTAAGTGCCTGGCAGGATCCATTACAATGTTGTGAGCCCGAAGGTTTACTGATGTCGGTACCAGGGACTAGGAACCAAGGGCCTTGAGCTCTGAGAATGGTGGCTTCTCTGCAGTGTGTCACTTACTCCTTTTGAACAGTTTCTTCTTCAGGAAAATTCGAAGGTTAGAGAAGCATCTCATGATTGTATCAAAACCCAGTTTAAAAAAAAAAAACTAGGAGAAAATGGGGGACGTAATAATTGGAGAGAAGAAAATGCCCTGGTGGCAATGTCAAGAACGAGATTGAATCAGGACCAGGAGAAGGGGCACCTTTTATTCCTGCTCCTTCCGCCATCTTCCTATGGAGAGTGACACATGGGGCTCCTAATTATCTCCAGAGGACCAGGGAGGAGGAGGATATAAGGGCTTCGGAAAATGGGAGGTTTTAATGAACAGAAAGGCAAGAAAAGGGAGTTCAGATGTACCACAGGATAAAATTAAGAAGCAGGAGGGCTGAGTGTGCAGGAGACTTGAGTATCTCACTGTGGGGACCTGCATTAGATGCGATGCATGGGAGGCTCTAGATCCGATAGGGAGAGATTTCAAGTCCAGAGCCAAGGAGCACCGATTTCACTCTTTGCCACCTTACACCCTAAGAATTCCAGGACGAGCCTCAGGATTCAGTGGGAAGACAGAGACTAGGAGCTCCTTCTTACCTTCTCAATAATGTCACTATCCTTTGGAAACACTCCTTGATCTGGGAGACTGGCTGCCTGTCACAGGAGGAAAGAGAATGACCCCAGTAGGATTTTCCAGGACCCAGCTTGGGCTCTGCCTTCAAGGACTGCTGGGAGAGCCCTCTGTGAGGCCTGAGTAAAGGAGATGCACGCAGCTGGAGTGCTAAGGGGTGAAGATTCTTTCCAGCAAAGAGCTG